TACCCTCGGCCACTGCTGAACTTTTTAAAGACCAAATTCTAACACACAGCTCTTCAAAACCTGCTAAGCCTTTTCTCTACCCTTAGGAAGAAATCTAAATACTCCCCTCTACACTTCCCACTCCTATCCCACCCCGATCAACAACTTAACACGCCAGGCCCTAATCTACCTCTTTACCATACAGCTCACTACTAACTCTTAATACTTTGCCCTAGCTGTGTTAGCTAATCCATAGTCAGGTCATGTCATCTTTCCAGTGGGAAACTGTGCTAAGGTCTGCCAAGAAAACCCCATTCAGCAACAAAGAAATTCAATTTATGGATCTGGATTTTAAACTTACAATTTTAATTAACAAATTTCTTAATATCACTTGCTGACGACTATCATTCCCCATATAGTATGTTGTGTCCTGGAAAGGAAGACTTCAAACTACAGATAAACAGAAGTTCTAACAGAGGGAAGGCTGACCATACAAGCAGCTTGAGAAAAGATACCAAATAGTCTATGTCCCAGCAATACCCACACATGGTGGCTCTCAACACATTTTTAACTAATTAATGGCAAAATTAAACATGAAATGAGAAATTCTGGAGACAAAAACCAATGAAAACGAAGACTGGGCATCTATCACAATTCTGACGACGGAAGCTTCAAGGAAAGTATTGACAGAGGATTCTGGCAAGATTCCCCTGCATCCTTATGAGAGGGCCATGCAGAACCTACTTCTCTCTCAGCAGGACCTGAATGGGGATGCCTATGGCCCTAGGTGCTACTGGCTGCTATTTTGCAACTGTTAAATAAGCTAACCCCGTAGACAGCAATTTCCATCCTGCTGGCTAATATGGCGCCCATGGTTTGTCTGTCTCTAGATATCAAGTTATAGGAGCCAGTAAGGTTTTTTTTTTTGTAATTACTATTATTTAAGTCAGTCTGAGTTATTACTTGGAGCCAAAGTCTCCTGACACATATCTGAGAAGCAAGTCTGAAAAAAGAAAGAAGAAAATCATGTTGAAAATGATGAATAGAGCTGTGTGGTGGTGGCACACAACCTTTAATCCCAGCACTCAGGCGGCAGAGGCAGGCAGATCTCTGTGAGTTTGAGGCCATCCTGGTCTACAGAGTAAGTTCCAGGACAGCCAAGGCCATTACACAGAAAACCCTGTCTTGAAAAATAAAAGAAGAAGAAGAGAAGAAAGAAAATGATGACTACAACATGACATCATTTAATTTTGTAGCCTCAGCAGAAATTAATCTAAAAGATACAGCAATGAGAGTTTTCTTTAAAAGACTACAGGCCATCATGTGCAGTTGATAAGGCATTGAGAGCATAACATATAACTTAGCAGCATTTCCTATGAGAAAAGGATATTCTGTATTCAGTGGATAAAATCAGCAGTAGATGAAACACTGTGGAAGACAATATTAATGACTCAGGTATAGTAGTGCACACCTTTAATCCCAGCACATGGGAAGCAGAAGCAGACAGATCTCTGCTTTGAGGCCAGCCTGATCTACATAGAGAATTCGGGGCTAGCCAGGGCTACATAGTGAGGCCCTATCCAAAAATAAATAAAATACCCAGAATAAAACACACAGAGAGAAAACATAGATCATCAGTTGGTTGAGGAAAGGATCCTGGGTGCAATACACATGTAACTGGAGTCCTCAAAGGAGAAGGGGAAAACAGAAAAATATATGAAGAAATGATGGTCAAAGTTTTTCTAAATTTGTTTTTAAAAGTCTAAGTTTAGGGTTTGAGAGATGGCTCAGGGATTAAAAGCACTGGCTGTTCGTCTATTGGACACGGGTTCAATTCCCAACAACCACACGGTGGCTCATAACTACCTGTAACAAAATCTGGTGCCCTCTTATAGCATGCAGGCAGAACACTGTATACATAATAAATAAACATTTTTTTAAAAAAAGTCTAACTTTATAGATCTGAAAATATAAGGGCCTGTGTTGTATTCGGTACTGTGCAGAGCCAGTGCGCGGCAAATGACTGCTCCTAAAAAGAGTGCCTAACCATGGAGCAAAATCTCACAAATACATCCCAATCAAACTGCTTTTAAAAATCACCCAGGAGGAAAGCACACACATGTGCAGAAAGAACCAAGATACACATGTCAGCTGACTTCTCAGAAAGAATGCAAGCCAAGAAGAGAAAATGATCAACACAGAGCTCCTTAACAATGGATTTCTTCTTTCCGAAATGAAAGCAAAGTAAGTCCATTCTTGGTTACATAAAAATTGAGATGCCAAGCAGTGGGGGCACACACCTCTAATCTCAGCCCCTGGGAGGCAGAGACAGGCAGATATCGGAGTTTGAGACCAGCTTGGTATACAGAGTGAATTCCAGGACAGCCTGGGCTACACAGAGAAGCCATGTCTTGGGAGGGGGGGGGAATTGAAAGAATTCACTCCCTGTAGACTCACCTTACTAGAAATGGAAAAGAAGAGTTTTTTTTTTTAATTATTTTAACTCATTAGTAGATTCTAGCCATACACAAAGGACATGGAGCCTATAGTTAGCGATCCTAAGGAAGCTAAATAACAAGGTGAACCCAAAGAGAAAAATATATAGATCCTCCTGGAAATTGGAAGCAGACAAGATCGCCAGGCAAAGGTTGGGAGCATTGGGGGGGGGGAGAAAGAGAAGGGAGAAGGGGAGGATTGGAAAGAGCTTGGGGGAGTGGGATGGTTGAGATGGAGGAAGGGCGGATATGGGAGCAAAGAAGATATCTTAATTAAGGGAGCCATTTTAGGGTTGGCAAGAGGCTTGGCTCTAGAGGGGTTCCCAGGTGTCCACAGGGATGTCCCCAGCTAGGTCCTTGGGCAGTAGAGGAGAGGGTGCCTGAACTGGCCTTGTCCTGTAGTCAGGCTGATGACTATCTTGAATATCACCATAGAACCTTCATCCGGCGATGGATGGAGATAGAGACAGAGACCCACATTGGAGCACTGGACTGAGCTCCTAAGGTCCAGTTGAAGAGCAGAAGGAGCGAGAATATGAGCAAGGAAGTCAGGACCACAAGGGGTTGGCCCACCCACTGAGACAGTGTGCCTGAGCTAATGGGAGCTCACCAAATCCAGCTGGACTGTGACTGAATGAGCATGTGATCACACTGAACTCTCTGAATGTGGCTGATAATGGGGGCTGACTGAGAAGCCAATGATAACGACACTGGGATTTGTCTCTACTGCATGTACTGGCTTTTAGGTATCCTAGTCTATTTGGATGCATATGGGGAGGACCTTGGACTTCCCACAGGGCAGGGTACCCTGTCCTCTCTTAGGACTGGAAGGGAAGAAGAAGGGGGAGGGGAGAGCAGGAGGGAAATGGGAGGAGGGAAGAAAGTGAAATTTTTGAATGGTATTATTTATAAAGCAATAAAAATTAAAAAATTATTTAAGACAACAAGAAATATGGTGCTAGAAGCACTGGTGAAAAATGGGTAAGCATACAATACTTTCTTTAAATTTAGAAATCCTTGAAAAGATAGTTGACTGTTCAATAACAGTACTTTATGGAACTGGCACCATTTGTAGAAATAAAATATATGACAATAGCTTAAAGACTATGGGAAAAGGAAGACCAAAAGTGTACTGCTCTTAAACTCTGGTCAAGTACAAGCAATGTGGTAAAGCTGTCGCTATAAATCCTAAAGCAACCATTAAAAGAAATTAAATTATACCCGATAATCCAACGAAAGGGATAAAATAAAATGGTAAAAAAGCACTCAATTCCAAAGAAAGGACAGAGTGTTTGTGTGTGGGGGAGGGGTAAACAAACAGGGCAAATGGAAATGATAAGACAGACCAGGCCTAAACATAATTAATAGACAAAATGTAAATGGCTTGATCACCCCACTTAAAAGGAAGACACAGACAATGGATAAAAAGCAAGGCTAAACTATCTACAAAAAGTCCACCTTAAACATAATCGAAATATGAGGACTATAGAGGAGTCTCAGTCATTAAAAGCACTGACTGCTCTAGAGGACCCAGGTTTGGTTCCCAGCACCCTCATGGCGGCTCACAACCATCCACAACTCCAGTTACAGGGGATCAAACACCATCTGGCCCCTTCAGGCATGAGGTACATATAAACTCACACATTTTACACACACACACACACCAATTTTTTTTTCCCCAAGACCGGGTTTCTCTGTGTAGCCCTGGCTGTCCTGCAACTCGCTCTGTAGACCAGGCTGACCTCAAACTCAGAGATCCACCTCCTGAGTATTAAAGTGCTGGTATTAAAGGCCACCACTCCTGGCCAATAATATATATTTTTAAAGACAAACTTAAAAGTATATAGAAAAGTATCCCATTAACATGATTCAGAAGAAAGCTGAAGTCGCTATATTAATATCACACTAATAGACCTCAGAGCAAAGAATAAAATCAAGGATAGAGACTTCTTTAACAAAGACAGAGAAGTCAATTCATGAAATCATCAGAAGCATACAGCAATCCTAAATATGTATGTACCCACTGAGCGTCAATCCACCCAGACAAGAAAACAGAAAGCCGTCTTTCATGGCTAAAATACAGCATCAGCATTCTTGAACTAAAACTGAACACAGCCAAAAAAATGAACGTAAGGCCCTCCTATGTTATTTATGGCATGCATTTTTACTAATAAAAGTGTCATATCTCTCAGGAGTCCAGGGTACTCATTAAAGAATTTATCAAAAAGAAAAGAAAAATGACAGCCAAGTCTGGTGACACAGACTGCTGTCCCACCAGTCAAGAGGCTGAGCTTCACATGACTGCAAGTTCCAAGATCAGCTTACTGAGTGAGTTCCAGGTCATTCTGGGCCTGGGGATGCTAGTGAAAACCCTGTCTCGACAATCAAAATGAAAAAGGAGGGTGAGGTCATAACTTAGTGGGAGAGTGCTTACCACAAGCCCAAGACCCTGCTACGGCCCCCAGCCCAGAAGGAAGTTGATAACCTCAACAGCAGGCTAGTCAGAGTGATGCAAAGCTGACTCACCTCTCGTACTGCCTATCTCGTGCTGACGAAGTGCCACGATGTCCCAAGTCCATGATCAAGAGAAGTAAAAGGAGACAGGGTATAAGGAAGAGTCCCAGTAATGCCACCCGCTGACGGAGAAATGGGCTCACTGTGGGCACAGTGAAGTACCAGGAGGCTGGGCAGAGGTAGGAAAAACTGATCCTGGAATGAGACAAACATCTGTTAAGCCTTAAATCTCTCCATAAGTGACGCTTTAAAACTAGATGAAAGCCCTGAAGGCAAAAATGCATGACAGGAGAAGGCTGTTTTTTTCATTCTCAAACGAGACAAAAGCACCTGTACGGCTCATAGTATTTCTGTTATTCAATTCAGAAAGACCTGACCTGCTGTTTCCGTGCCCACTAACAATGCTGTCAAGAAGCTAGACAGTTAGAAAAGTTATTTAACTGATTTTTTTAATGCTTTAACAAATTATACATATAGAGGGACTTTTTTAAAAAAATCTCAGCTTTAACAGATACACAGTAAAAACGGAATCTGGCTCTGACTCCACCATCTTTCAGAGCCAACCATTGCTACTCCCACGACCCCAGACTATGGACAGGAAATTAATGCACCGGCCATTCAAAAGAATACCACATTGCCGTCTTTGCATACACCTGACCAGAATGCAAAGTTCAGGTGAAGCCTCAGACAAACCTCACTTTGTAACAGCCTCCCAGCGCCTGCCACCCACCCACTCAACCCGCTTACCACCCTCCACTGAGCCCTTTGACAGAGATAACGGGGAGGGGGGACCTTACCTAGCCATGGGTTCCCTTCAGTAGTCTTGACGTCTGTCACCTCCTTTTCCTTTTGCCCTGAGAGGGTGGCCTCCTTGTCCCCAGCATCTCCTAAGGCTGAAGCCTGGAAAGGGTTGGCTGGCTTTCAGACAGATGTCCAGAAGTGCCCAAAGAACTAGATCTCCGCAATGACAGCACACTTCCCTCCCACTGTATTGAGACCACCCACCACTCCCTGTCGGGTCTCTCCCCTCCCCAACCCCCACTCCTATCCCCGCGGGCCAAGGGGACCCTGAGCGCATCCCCGACGTAAGGCTTTCCTGCGGGCCGGCTCCGTGCTCGTGGAGCACGCCACCCCAGGTGGTAAGGATGGGGGACCCCGCTTCCTTTTCCTGTCACTCTTCTCCCTGCAGCTCTCCCGCGATGCCACTCACGGGATCCCGAGGCCCGCTCGTCCCTCTGCACAGCCCAGCCTGGTCCTCAGCGGTTCCCCGTGGCTCCCAGAGCAGCCGGAAGGAGGCCTGGCCGCCAGCGGCGCCACGTCCCCAAGGAAACCGCACCGAGCCAATGACTGCTGGGGACCCGAAGAGGCCCGCCCAGCGCGCAACCGGAGCTGCAGACGAACCCGCCGCGTTCACAAATTGAGATTCTGTTCACAGCCGGGCCAATGCTCAAGGGCGCCGGGCCCCGAATGCCCGCCTCCGGTTTATAGCCGCTGCCAATCGAAAAGGCGTCGCGACCAAGCTCCGCCTGGAGAGCGAGCGGTGGCCGGCACAGGTAAGAGGCCACCGACTGTTGTGTCGCCAGCTCCCTGCGGGTGGCCTCCTCTGCTCCTACTCCCACTGTTGGACATTACCTGTTGGTGAGTCTCGGGGTCTTCACCACAGCAGTGCACCCCTTGCCCACAACCTTTCTTACCACAATGGCAGTTCCTCCATCCCGTTCCTTTTGCCCACAAATTGATGTCCCAGGCTTATTGTCACCTCTCGTGATAGAAACATTGTAGGAAAAAATTGGAGACTGATGTTTGCATCGAAGCGCTTCCGTCCTTCCTTCAACGTCGATGGTCTACTATGTGCGGATCATGAACATTTGTGTCATTGTCTTGAACATTATGGTGATACACACAAAAGCATCGGTCGTTTGGTGCATTTACTCTTGCTGACACCAGACGCCATCCCTGTGTCTCATTTGCATGAAGAACCCTCTGGAATGGCCGAAGTCTAAGTTTTTCTCAACTTAGACTCTTCCATAATGTCCACGGCGTCTCCTGGCCCCTTGGTTAAGCTCCTTACGTACCCTTGCGGGTTTGGACCCGATGGTTTTTTGTTCATTGTGGTTCTTCTTCCGCCTGCTTTGCCTATCTGCCCCTGCGCAGCTCTTACCTTTTTGGCTTAAGGATCGTCTTCCTCCCAAAATCTTCCTTGACCCACATATCTCTTTATAAACACCTCTGTTCCAGTTACCCCTTGAATTACAATCATGTTCCTGTCTGCTTCACTAGCCAGAATACCCTTGAGGGCAGGACTCTGCTTTTACCCATTTCCCAAAGCCAGGCCACCCTTTCACACATTAAACACGGCTATCTTAGAATATACATGAACACTGGGACAGGGACGAAGACCGAGATGAGATCAATAGCGGCTGTTCCATTCAAAGCTGGCTATAACGAGTGACAGTGACTGTCACTGCATTTGGCAGAAAATCGATGCTGTCAGGGGAAATAAAACGGCTTAATAATGAAAGGAACAAGGGTCCATACATCTATGACTTCGGGGTGTTATTAATAGCAGAGAGAGGCCGAAGGCTGGGTGACTGGGTCAGAGTAGCATGTTCAGCATGGGCCTGAGCTGAAGAGGAAAGGAACAAATAAAAAAGAAGCTAGTTTGGGGGCTGGAGAGATGGCTTAGTGGTTAAGAGCACTACTACTCATTCCAGAGGACCTGGGTTCAATTCCCAGCACCCACATGGCAGCTTACAGTTGTCTGTAACTCCAGTTCCAGGGGATCCAACACCCTCACACAGACATACATGTAGGCAAACACTAATGCACATAACATTAAAAACAAATTATTTAAGCCAGGCAGTAGTGACTTACACCTTTAATTCTAGCACTTGGAAGGCAAAGGAGTTCGAGGTCCAGTCTGGTCTACAAAGTGAGTTCCAAGACAGCCAGGGCTGTTACATGGAGAAACCCTGTCTTGAAAAACCAAAGAAAGAAAGTTAGCTGGAAGTCCACACTTTTAATCCTACCACTTGAGAGGCAGAGGCAGGCAGATGTCTGTTAGTTTGAGGCCAGCCTGGTGTGCACAGTGAGTTCCAGGAGAGGAAGGACTAAGAAGAAAGACCTGTCAAAGGAGGAGGAGAAGAGGGGAGGGGAGGAAAAGAATTGATCAGGCCCTGCTTGGTCTGGCTGATGGCTACAGGGTCTGGTCATCTGTGATCTGATCTTTCTTTCCCTTCTGCTACTCTATCAGGTTGCCTATCTTAACTTGTCCTTCTGCTTTGAACTCTCATCTCTCAACTTTCTTCTCCCTTAAACAACACACGGCTTTAGTGTTATACGTAACCTGGGACGCTGAGGAAAAAGTGTGGGGGCTGGGAATGTAGGTCAGCCGGTAGTGTTTTCCTGGCACAGACCGTGAAACCCTGTGTTCGACCCCCAGCATCACACTAAAACAAAAATAAAATAAAAATAAGAAACCTGATCATAGCAGTGCATGTCTGTAATCCCTACAGTCAGAAGGAGAGGCAGAGGATCAGAAGTTCAAAGCCATTGTCTTAGGCAGCAGAAGACTGTGTGCCACACTAGGGCAGGCTTGAGCTTCTGAGACTTCAAAACCTGCGCCCGATGACTCACTTCCTCCAGCGAGGCCACACCTACTCCAGCAAGGCCACACCTCCCAATAGTGCCAATCTCTATGGGCCTAAGAAGCCATTTTCATTCCAACTATCACAGTCATTCTCTGATACATTGCGTGTTTGTGGCTAGCCTGAGCTACGTGAGACCCTGGTCACGACGAAAAAGCAAAGGTGGGACAAGGCTTGATGGCTCAGTCCCTTAACCCCAACACTACACTAGGAAGCTGAAGGGGAAAGATTGCTGTGAGGCAGTCTGGACTACCCGGTGAGACCTTAACCTAACCACACATACATACACACTCATACACACACATGCACATTGCATAAAGTTTGTATTAATTACAAAATTATATAAATATCAGATAGCTTATTATTCCTGAAAACAGGTCAGTGCCTGAAGAAAGGAAGACATGGAAATAATTCAAAGGTTGTTCTGAAATACTTTTTTTTAACTTCTTGAAATTTTGTTCTTTGAGTTCTAAGTCTAAATATGTACATTTCAAACTCAAGTACTCCACCAAATAGGTGTTTTAGAAGAGAAACATTATCTGATTATCTTACCTTTTTGTAATAGGAGACTACTTGTTCATTTCCTGGCTGTCCAGACCCAAATAATTACACAGAAACTATATTAATTACAACATTGTTTGGCCTCTTAGCTCAGGCTTCTTATTAAGTAACTCTTTCATCTTAAATTAACTCATTTCTATCAATCTGTGTATCGCCACGAGGCTATGGCTTACTTGGTAAGGTTCCAGTATGTTCTTCTCCTTCAGCAGCTACGTGGCATCTCTCTGACTTCACCTTCCTTCCTGCTCTGTCTCTGCTGGGAATTCCCGCCTACTTCTAGTCTGCCCTGCCATAGGCCAAAACAGCTTTATTCATTAATCAATAAAGGCAACACATATACAGAAGGACCTCCCACATCACTACCTTAAAGAGTATCTAATTCATAGGGTTTATAAGCTACATTACCTTTACAATCCAAAGGGGCATTGAACCACCCTCTAAAGTTAGAGTGTATAACTTCTGTCATAAAACAGAAAACTGTGTTTTAGTCCCAAGAGTTTCTCATGACACTTTCCTTGTGAATTTCTCCTTGACAGCTGGTTTGGGCAGTACTTCCTCTAATAAATCCACCTACCCCAGGCGTGTGTTCAGCATGATTCTCTTCAAAGCCCAGCCATGCTTGTCTGATTAACAGTTCACAAGGTTGAGTCCTGAGGTTTCCAGTAAGCAGACCAAATCAAAAAAGGTTAAAATCATTTCTCTACCTCATTTGCGTAGCCCAATGACATGTGGAAAGCCACATTTCAAAAGAGGCTTTTAACTGCTCCTTAAAGGCTTGTCTATACCTACATTAAAAAGTTTATCAAGACACCTCTCTCACTTTGGCACCTTTCCTTTTCCTGGAGATTTTGTTCACTTGCTCTTCCCTCACCCTGCCCACATGCTGGCCTCTCCGCCTGTATTAATATATGTCCTTAGTAGGACCCTCCTTAACCACCTTATTTAAAATTGTAGCTCTTCCCACTCACACCCAGTTGTCCATATTTCCTATTTCATTGTTTTACTGCAAAGTATTTTACTCAGCCAGCAGTTATTTTGTTTTTCAGAACTTGATTTTGAATCTAGGGCTGCTGTCATGTTTGGCAAACATTATTCCACTGTGTAGCATCCCCAGTCTTACTGGTTTACTGTCTATCTCCCTACAACTAGAATAACAATTCCATCAAAACAAACATATGACTTTGAAAATGAAACAGAATGCTCATTGTGTACATATGTAAGTATCTCAAAGAAATATTGCTAAATAAAAATACTGATAAAACTGGACATGGTGATGCGTAGTGCTATTGTCTCATCAGGACCGCCAGCCTGTAAGTAACGACACAGAGACATTATTAATTATGAAAGCTAGGCCTTTAGCTTATGCTTGTCTCAACTAGCTCTCATAACTTAACCAATTAGTATTAATCTATGTCCTGCCACATGGCGTTGCCTCCCTTCCATCTTGCGTCTCCTGTTTCCTTTCTGTCTGGCTGGTGACTCTGCCTTTCTTCTTCCCAGAGTTCTCTCTCTGTCTGGAAGTCCCATCTATACTTCCTGCCCAGCTATTCACCATTCAGCTTCTTATTGCACCAGTCACAGCAACGCATCTTCACACAGTGCACAGATATCGCACAACGGTGATGTGCATCTGGAATCCTAGCCCTTGTGGAACTAAGATAGGAGAATGGGAGACTTGATGTCAACACAGTTTTATAGCAAGACCTTGTCCCCCAAACTGAAAAGAACAAACCAAACACTGATAACTGACAACAATAATAAATAAAATTTAAAAAACCTGGTCCTATGTATTAGTCAAGGTTCTTCAGAGGAACAGAACTAATACATTTAGATACAGAGCTGATACATATAAATCCCACTGAGTCACATCCACATATATGAAAGGAATTTATTAGACAGGCTTACAGACTGTGGTTCAGCTAGTCCAACAATGGTTTCCTATCAATGGATGGTCCAAGAATCCAGTAGTTGTTTAGTCCATGGGGCTCAAAGTCACAATATATGCTAGAATCCTGAAGAAGTTGACTATAATGCCAGTTAAGGAATGAACTTGCCAGCAAGTATGCAACAAGAGAGAATGTCCTCCTTCCATGTTCTTAAAATAGTCTGCCAGCAGAAGGTGAGATCCAGATTAAAGGTGGATCTTCCTAATACGTTTTA